AACCAATTGCTGCGCTTTCTGATAAAGATTTTATAAAGTGGAGGAAAAATAATAAATGAAATTTAAACATCTAATTCATTCTGTCAACTGTTTAAAAAGCTCACCAGGAATAAATAAGGTCAATGTGATGCTATGCATGAATTTTTAAAGTACTAAATATAGAGGTGGAAAAAATAAATTTAGATCAATTATACTGTACCCCAATATTCATATATTAAAACATAAATTTCGCTACCACTGGAAAGGAAAAATTGCCATTCAAGGTAAAAGCATTGTGTTATCTCTGAGACTTTACAACTTTTCAACACGGAACTAGTTATTCTTCCCCTAAAAAGGTTTAATATTTTCTTTTCAATGTCAAAAATTCCGCTTTTTCTTCCACAGAAAAGCCAGCACTCAAATGCTAATTCAGAAAGAAAAAAAATACAGTTTAAATGCAAAATATATGGCACCATTTATTTTAAAAGTTAGAATTTGAAGGAAATCGCTATGTCTTTAAAATCTAATTTGGAGAATAAAGTTTGCAAAATTAATTTTAAATCAATCTTTGTCGTTTTACTTTTAGTTACTATTTCAGAAGGAAAATAAAAACTAGCCAGTCAATTGCTGTTTTTTGAAGAAAAAAAATGCAATTGAAATGCAAGTATATGGAATTATTTTAAGATTCCGAAAAAATATTTACATTATAAAATGGTTTTGATGGTGAAAATCTGTTGCATCAATTTGTAAAATATTCTTACAGTAAAACGTTTAAAAAATAGCCTTTTTTCCTCGGTTAAACTTGAGATTGTATTGCTATTTTTGAAGTCAATATCAGTTTTAATGCAAACTGCATGGCATTAGTTATATTACTCAAAGTCGTAACATTGATATCTAAAAAATTTAGGTTTTCCGGAACAAAATCTTGAAATTTATTTTTAAAATATCGCATAAATGTTGAAAAACGGACCACATTCCCCTCCTTGATACTGCTATTGTCATTCAACTGCTATGGTTGAAAAAAAAATCACATTTCAAATGCGTCATTTTAAAGATAGTCTTACAGCTATATGACGTCATTTTAAAATTTGTCTTACAGCTATATGACGTCCTTTTAAAGATTGCTTTTCGAAGAAAATATCTAGATCCTAAAGATATTGGATTCGCGATGCAAATTTCTGAACTGAATGTTTAAAAAGTTACTGATCATGTAGAAAGTTGATCCCCAATTCCCTAGAATAAACTTATCACGTAATTAAAAAACTTTAAATGAATTATGTTAAGTAAATGACACAATTTTAAAGCCTTCCAGTTGTAAAAGATATGTAGGTCATCAAATTATAAATGTCATGATGCGAATTTGTAAACCTATTTTTTTAAACATCCCTTGAAACATTAAAAAGTTTGACAAATTTCTCAAGATAAACTTCGAAATTTTATTAATAAGGAACTTTATTTCCTCATAATGTTATGCAACTATATTTTGATCAGTATGAAAAGGATATAAAAATCTAAATAAAATTCAAAATGTAAATGCAAACGATGTTGAGAGATCAATGAAGAAAAATTTAATTTATATAGTTCGTGAAAGTTCTTTCCGATTTTTTAAAATGTCCTTCGAAACGCTAAAATTTAATCAAATTTCTTAAGATAATATTCGAAATTCTATTAATAAGACAATGGAATTTTCTCATAATATTATATAACTATATTTTGATGAGAAACAAGCATATGAAACTCTAAATAAAATGTATAGTGTAAATGCAAACGATATTCAGAGATCAATGACGAAAAATCGGAATTATATAGTTCGTGATAGTTCTTTCCAATGATTGGTTTAAAGAAATTTGTATGATCCAACTATATCAGATTTTTTGAGATACAGATCACTGGCACCAACCATTTGAGTGATAAATGAAAGTTTTAAAATAAAATAAAAGATAAAATGAATATGAAGTTGACCGATATGTATAGAACGCATAACGATAACAGCTTTATCAGATAAAAGCTTTTTTAAATGTTTAATAAGAGCTGTTGGAATTATAGCGATAACTACAATCTTTATTTTGATATGAGGTAATAGTACACAAAATTTGTGATGAGAATTTAAATAACTTGGTTGATATATTTAAAGTTCATTCAACTAATATTCGACGAATAAAGCAATTTAAAAAATTTACGTGTTAATACGGAACACCAAAATTAGTGAATGTCGAATATGTCCAGATAATTTCGATTATCATAAAATCACTTTCATGAAAATTCGAAAGGATTTAGTAATTCTTTTAAAATTTCTCTCCTTCACCAGTAAATGCTGACATTCTATATAGGGAAAAGAAATCTTTTTTTTACATAACAGTATTTCTCATTTAGACAAACAAATTTTGATATCATAAAATATAACATGCACTGATGAACTAATTCTAAGGAAATATCTATTAAACTTTTTTTGTTGGTGAGTGTAACCCCTATAATGTTGATATTCAGCACGCACTGATGATTGGATTGTAAGGAAATATTTATTAAACTTTTTTTGATGGTGAGTGTAACCCTTAGAAATGTTGATATTCAGCTGATTAATGCTGATTAAGAAATATAAGGAAATATTTATTAAACTTTTTTGATGGTGAGTGTAACCCCTAGAATTGTTGATATTCAACTGATTAATGCTGATTGAGGAATATAAGGAAATATTTATTAAACTTTTTTTGATGGTGAGTGTAACCCCTAGAATTGTTGATATTCAGCTGATTAATGCTGATTAAGGAATGTAAGGAAATATTTATTAAACTTTCTTTGATGGTGAGTGTAACCCTTAGAAATGTTGATATTAAGCTCATTAATGCTGATTAAGGAATATAAGGAAATATTTATTAAACTTTTTTTGATTGTGAGTGTAACCCCTAGAAATGTTGATACTCAACTGATTAATGCTGATTAAGGAATATAAGGAAACATTTATTAAACTTTTTTTGTAGTGAGATAGCATCTAGAAATGTTGATATTCAGTATGCACCGATGAAATAATTACATAAGGAAATGTTTATTAAACTTTTTTTCTTAATGGTGAGTATAACACCTAGAAATTTTGATATTCAGCACGCATTGATGAACGGGTTGTAAGAGAGAAATAAACGAAACTTATTTTATTCAGCATTTACTACTGAACGCAGGAATCTTCCAATGTATGCACGAAAAAATTTTATTAAGCTTTAATTTTGATTGAATATCGAATATTCACCGAAGCGTCTATGTGAATGTTGATATTTACTGAATTTCGGAATTTCACGGAACATGCATATCATGAAAATATTTGAGATGTTTAATTTCTAATTGCTGTTTAATTAATATTAATTAATTCATTTTCATAAAGACAAAGAGGTATCTTTTATATGACAATTTGATTTTTGTAAATATTTTGGTTGTTTTTCGATAGAATTGGCTACATAAATATTTCAGGTAGCTTCTATTGGGGAAAAAACTAGTTTTTATTCAAAATTTTTAAAAAAAATATTTTGGGCTGAGCTAGTTCGGAAACAAGCCTTGTTAAGTATGATACAAAAAGCTGACGGCAACTGCTTTATTTCGAAGTTGTATATTCTTCTTCAGATTTTTGAAGACAAAATAGTTCCAGTATTTATTTTGTCGTAAACAAAAAGATTTTTAAAAAGTTTTGTTGATTTTGTTATCATAGAATATTCCTTGTTTGAAGATGCTAATTTTTATCGTTGTTTTTTAAGTTTTTATTAAATTTATAAATTTATCTCAAGTAGTTCAACCATCCTTTCTGAATATTTATCCTCAACGAAACGACATTAAGTACAGTTAACAAAAAATGAGTAGAAAAGTAAATTTAAGGTTAAAAATGAAATACCTTAAACAATTTTGGATCTAATGATCTGTACTAATAACAAACTAAATTCTAATGACTACTAAATAATTGCTTCCATGTAAACTAAATACTAATACAACAGATGATAATTTCAGTAGTGAAACCAGACACAAAACCTAAGTTTCTGTGAAATTTTCAGGGATTCAGATTTCAAACCCTCAAAATATGGGGAACTTCACTCATAATATGAAATATTACCCATTAAATTTTTCCATCATAAATATGAGTATTTGTAATTAGTTATAACAATAATTTTTCTTTAGGGTGAGAAAATAAATAAAAAAACGCTTTTTTTTACTTTTGTTTATCAACCTTTTTTTTATAAATTTTTGCATTTTAATTTGGTAAATTCTTCATTCGCCCTTAAAAAACGGACATAGAGATATTTTAAAATTTACTATTTCTTAAAACTTGCAAAATTTTAAATTTTTTTCTGCAAAAAATTCAAAAAATTTTGAAAAATAATCATTGAAATTAGTTTTTTATGTGCTATTTCATTTCATAGATATCAGTAATGAAAATAGGTCCACTGAATTTCAAATAAGTTGGAAAAAAAACTTTTTATTTTGAGTGAAATTGCTATAAAATGCTGTACGTATGGTCTTGGCTTTATTTACAATATCGCCCATTACTTATAAAATATATGCACGTTACTCAAACTTTTCAGAAAAGATCTTATTGTTCTGGTACAAACATATATTACTTCCAAAAAATTTTTTTATCTTTTTATTGTGTGTTTAAATTATCTTAGACCTCTTAGAGTTGCTCAACTCATTTTTCTGGGAAATCAAGTAATGTTCAATGTTTTTAATAGATGGCAGCACTATGCAATAAAATGAATTTATTTCACTTCATTATTCGTTCATTTATTTATTAATCTAAACAGTAACGGGCTTTAACTTACGGTTAAAGTAAGATCTTTTAAACAGCTGGTAAAAAAAAAGTAAAATTAATTTTTGTTTTTCACTTCTGATTTTAATTTTTATAAATAATTTAGCAACCTAAAATAACAGCATGATTTCACAAGGTAAAAAGTATTTATAATTAATAAAGATACATCTAACGAGAATTGAACATTTAATTTATTAACTAAATTTAAATTTATTTTTGAATAAACATAAGAACTCACCGCAAATGCAAATGTTGCTGGACTGTGTCTAAGACTGGCAAAAGCTAGAAAACAAAAAAAATTTCATAATTCACAATTTTTTTTTTTTCTGCACATTTACAAGTTGGAAATTTAATTCTTAAAAGTCAAATAAATTACAAATATCAGTTACAAAATGAACTCTGTGCAAAACCATTTACATGCCTAATTTTTTAAGATGTTCAATATTATCAAAAATAAATAAATAAAAATGCAAAAAATTTCTAGTGTTTAATTAAGTTATCGAATCGGAAAAGCAATCATGATAGCGATAACCATAAAGTATTAACAATGAATAAAACACTGAATGCATTTTTTTTCCTTTTGAAATTTTTCAAATGTTATCCTTTCTTTTTTTTTTCTTTTTTTTTCTTCTTTTTTTTAATTAAAGTAGCAGTTAAAATGCCAAGATACTATTTATTACACTCTTACTTTTTACTTTGTTCAATGTTCCGCTTTTTTTTATTTTTTCGATTGGCATTTTTAAATAATAGTGAATTTGAGTGGTTTTTGGACTGAAATTCTCGCCCAGAAAACACATAATTTTTCCATTTATGAGACAAAATATAGATAAAATAATAATAATATATTTTTTAATATAAATTATTTGTAATAATAGCAATATTAAATTAATTTCATTTCTTTTAATGAAGCGAATTTTTCATCAATTAAATTAATAAAACAATATGTATTAATCCTGAAATTATGTAAGAAGAAACAAACTTACTTATAGCAAGTACACTTAATATTAAATTGAGAAATACGGATACAAAGCATATCGTTATTGCAACAATACGCAGATGTTCTTTCTTTTTCTTTTGGAACAAGGAATCTTGAGGCTTAATAGGTATATCATCTGAAATAAAAAAACAAAGATGAGATATTATTGTTATAGGTATAATTTTGTTAAGTTACAAAAATTTGAACCATATAAGGAATTTATTATAAAAAAATCACTCGGTCCATTTAAGTACTTTTTTGTAGAGAAAAAAAAATTTTCACAGCTAGGCATTCGACATAGAGATAGAGATGAATTTTTGTTGCATTACTAACTTACAAAAATATACCTGTAACAAGAGTGAATAACTAGCTATGGACAATATATTTTATTTTACAACCGTCGTTAAACAGTCGACCCAATTCTGGGTTTACGACTATCAATGTTCAACTCCGTATCCTTGTAATTTTGATCACAATCCAGAAGACAAGGGAACTCCCGGATCAGTACCCCCAGAGGTTTTGATTTGTTATGGGAACTTGGTGGACTACGTGACCCCGACAAATTTTAAGTGCATCAATCACCATTTACTACACGGGGAGTCTTCGGCCTGCAGGGATAGAACCCACGACCTCTTGGACATGGGTCCAGTGCCCTACCAACCAGGTTATCTCGGCCCAGCTACGGACAATACAATATAAATTGAACCACAGAACTAATTTCAAAAATATCCTAAAACAGCCAAAAAAGAAAACAAAAACAAATTTTATCCAGACAGAGGCATTCGACATATAGATATATTTTAGTATCATTACTAACTTATGTATCTATTACGAATGAGTGGACAACTAACTATGGATTTCACTAACATCATAAGAGAGCCAAAAAATAAACATATTACGTCAAGATATTTGATATATACTTATATTTTTGTAACATTATTAACTTATATACCTATAACAAGAGTGAATAACTAGCTACAGACAATATATATAAATTGAACCACTGAACTAATTTCGCGAACATCCATAACATAAAAAGGATTAAAAGCATATTCAATTCTTCCTCCCCCCTTCGACAGATGAGTTCATTCAAGAAGAGAGAGGTCTTTTAGCAACACCTCCTACAAGAGAGAAGGCCTCAGCACCGATCAGTTTAGTAGTCCGTCGTAAGGAACATGAACTGTGCAGTGGAGGCAAATACGAAGATGCCACTACATTCGGGCTGCTAAGTTGCGCACTGGGGGAAATACAAAAGATCTCATTACGTTTGGACAAATAAAGGATCAAATTTCTTCTTTATGGTAAACCGTGTTCAGGCCTTCTCTAGGAGGGATTGCTCTTAAGCGCGTGTATAAAACAAAGAATTTTAATACACTCTTATTTCTGAAGACACAATAAATATAAAATTATTAAAAAATGTATGTCAATACGAATTTGTCAATAACTGTGTAAAAGATAAACGTTCTAGAAAAGCAAAGTGTTTTTCTGCATATCAATATAAACTTCGTGATGTATTAGTTTCACATGAATTACTATGTGTTATTAGTGACTGAAGAAAATATATGATTATAACAATAATGAATATACACTTAGCGAACTTCCAAATATTTCCAACCTGACTTCTTCATGGTAAGTTCATTATGTTATGTTTATTCTTTAAGCAATAAATCTTAAGACACTAAAACTTAAAGATGCTACAAGTAATTATAAAGACATTCCATTTTTATATCGATTTTTAATTTTGAAAACGTTAAGTATAGGTTTCATAATAAATAAGTTTCACATGAACTACTATATGCTCTTGATGAAAGAAAAAGTATATTATAATAATAATGACTATACTCTTAACTAATCTCCAATCGTTTCCAGCATATATTCTCCATGATAAGTTCTTAATTTCATATTTATTTATAAAGCAATAAATCTTTAGATACAAAAACTCTAAGATTGTATTCTATATTTAGATTTATTTTTGATGTTAAAAAAGTGAAATATAAGTTTCATAATATATAAGGTTAAGATGAACTACTGAATGTAGTTAGTGAATGAATAAAATATATAATTGGAACAAGAATTAATATGCACTTAACTAACCTCCAAATGATTCTAACCTGCATTCTTCAAGGCAAGTTCTTGTTGCCATATTTATTTATAAAGCAATAAGTCTTAAAATACTAAAACTTTAAGATTCTACAAGTAAAGGATTCAATATTTACTTCTATTTTTAAAGTTAAAAATGGTGTGGTTTAGATGTAGTTAACTTTAACTACAGCAAATGAAAAAGGGAATGAAAGTTTTTGCGATCATTTATCATTTTTAATTGTTTCAGAAACTTATGCAATGTCTTACACTTATAAGATTTAGCAATACGCAGACATCGTTTTCTAGTTAAAATATGTTGCCAAATTTACAAAGGAAACTTCTATCGCGATGACTATTTTCTCCAAAGAAGGTGAATAGTTTGAAATCCTTTCCAAATAAAATTTGTACCAATAAAATCTCTGATCTACCCAGTAACTTTAAACCATAATATAAAATCGCATAATTCAAAAAGTGTTAAGCAATGCAATCTCAACGTTAAACCATAATATTGACAACTTGAACCATAATACGGTACAATTTGATGCAATTTCAATGAAGTGTTGAATTAAACCATGTTCCGTATAAACTGAACCATTTCCCCGCTCAAGTTGAACAATGTTCCCATATAACTTGAACCATAATATAGTGTAACCATATTAAAGTTGCAACAAGCTTGAACTAGTTGAATAGCGGTACAACAGGCTCCAAAAATTCGAACATTGTTTACAAATAAAACATATAATGATATTAACTAGAAAATTACTGAAAAACTAATCCTTACTAAAATTGTATAGACTTAAAAAAATTTTCAAAGTGATGGACGAAATAATAACAATAAGTTTCTCAAGGAATCAGGAGATCTCGTTATGTTTTTAATAGTTTTGCAAAATATTTTTACAAAAATTAGTATATATATATATATATATATATATATATACATTCGTGA